ACCTGCAATTCTCATAAATGCATAGATTATACAATATATGCAACCATTAATTTTAAAATTGCTGAAAGCTGAATCACAGAAAATTATTGTTATTCACAAGCGTCACAACTTAGAAACAATCTTATATACAAAAATACAAAAGCATTATTTACATAATCTGTCTGCAGCAACAATATAAATTATTAAACCTCCTTCAAAAAATATATTCTGTCATATTTGTACTGATATCCCAATTATAACTGCCCCTAACCATGTATATTTGTGAAATATATTTAGTCCCAATAACCTGTATAACACATGCGGCAGATGAGTTTCTAGTTATAATTTTTTTAAGTGCATTTCATATAAATCCTCTTTGAGAGCAAAAGTTATCTTTTGTCACATCTAACAATATAAACTAAAATTATTTTTGTAAAAGGATTTTCCTAAGAGCTGTAGGCAATACAAAATTATGTCAATTTGTTCCCAAATTAAGCAAAAAAGTTAAATACATAAAACAAAAAAGATTATGTTACTCGCAGAATTATTCGTATTTGATTTTGCATAAGAAAACTCCCTAGTATTTGCATAATTTTCAAATCAAGTATTGTTTTTCATGTCATTCAAACAAATGAATGTATTAAAAATAATAAATAAAGCTCAAGGTCATAACTTGTCCTTTATTATTCACTATGCTAAACACATAATTTGTTTTTTTATAAATTTAATGCATTTACTATTTCGCCTGTAAATGCATCTCTCCAAAATCAAATCTCGTGTTTTATGTTCCATGCTGTTTTAAATACAAGTCTTGTATGTCTTGTTGCACTGTGTCCTGTGTTTGCTGCAAATCTGTCTTTATTTGGCTTCGCAACTCATTTAACTCTTCCGTAGGATTTTTACTGGATGTTAGGGAGACATCATCATCGTCATACGTGACAGACCTTATCAAAGCAGCCGTGCCTTTTGAAACTGTTATGTCACTTTTAGTTTCATCTGCAAACCTGACACTTTTCTGCAAAACAATTTCTTCGGGACATTTTTGATTCTCAGTTAAATCAACGTCGTTCGGGTTTGCCGTCTCAATGCCATTTTGATTGACGGCTTCAACATGACTGATGGCATGGTCACTTTCACTGCCAAGAATCTCAGATGCAACATGCTTTGTGTCCTCAGCAACCAATTGTAAGTGGTCTTCTATTTTCATATTAGCTTTGGCAAGGTTCTCTAAAGTAACGTACCCTTCCTTATCATTGTCTTTCAGATGAGATCTGGATGGCATGTGGGGATTCTGATCATCAAAAGAAACTGCCGATGAGTACATTTCAAGGTCTGACATTGATTGTAGATCGGATTCAGCGATTAACATTCCGGCCGTAGGGATATGGATATACTGACGTGTATCATCTTCAGTTTGATCATCTCGTACACTTCCTGGAGGAGGATTTGGTGAAGGGGGTGGAGGGTGACTAATCAATCGTGCCATGACCCGCTTAGCCTCAGGTGTACATGTACAAACATGAATCTCGCCATTAGCCGATTTATGCTGATGTGGATGGACTGTAAGATTTCCATTACTAGACACAATAGATGATCCCGGGGAAGAACGTCTACTTCCATTCTCTCCGCTTCCTTCTGATCGCAAAACTTGCATTTGTTTTCCCTTCAAATTTATTCCTTCTCCATTGTCAATATATCGTGACCGCTTTTCATTCACTTTATTAGTTTCGCTGACCTTTGTGATGATTTTTGCATTGTGATGTGATGACGCTGAAATCATATCATTGTTTAAATCAGTGGATGGGTTGACATCTGGGATTCCGATGCCCTGCGCTATTCTAATGAAACTAGTCTCACCATCTTTATGTCCATTACTCACACTCGTCACCCCACTACGATGTAACTGCCCTGGTTTAGCCAACCCTGCTTTATTTGACAGCGGATGTACTTTCGTAATACTCCCAACGGCCGATCTGGGTGTTGATGATTTACTTCTCTCACCCGACTGTGGTTTTAAAGGGTTTACACCGGTTGTCATAAAAGTGTTATCCGACACAACATTGGACACAATGCTTGCCTGGGGTGTCATCGGTTTTTCCAAACCAACAGACGATGTAAAACTCTCTCGACTTGCACTTCTCAGATTCTCAATCCCTTTCTTTTCCTCTTTTACAGATCCACTCGTGCTGGAAGATTTGATGTCCGATAATTCAACTTCCTTTTCTGTTTCCGGCACAGGTATACTCTCAGCATGTAGCTTTTCATTTAGAATCTCGTTGTAGTCTCGAGATGACAACGATTCCTGATCATCATCAAACTGGTCAACAGTTACAACTGTTATTCGATTACTAAGACTAGATGTACCGTCAATGTTTAGTTTATTTTTAACACGTTGTCTTACACGATATGTATCAGGGCGAATGTCTGTTCTTGGTTTCACGTCTTCATCTTTAATCAACTTCTCAAATATTACCGGATGCCTTTCACATAAATCCTATTAACAGAAATATAAACAAATATCAGAAGAAATAATCTGATTTGATAAGTAAGCAGTACTGTTTAACAGCCAATCAAGTGATAGCTCTCAGCTGCAATTATAAATTTACCATGAATGAAACAATGATTGTGATAGGTTAATTGCTTTAATAGTCAACATCTTTAACAGGCATACATTTGGTCTGGAATCCAGCCTTTCTGAGTACACCCAAAAATGGCCAGGTTAAACTGCAATTATGTAGTCAGCACAGAATTTTCTGTCACCACTGATTTGCTGTCTCCATGATTTCAGTACATTACCACTGAGAAACAAATAGGCGGACTGATTTGTAGGCAAGGCCTACCCACAACACTTCAGACCAATTCCTCATGATTGTAGACCACATCTAGCATACATTCAATCACTCAGTGAAATAAATATGATTATTCCTAACAATTCAGTGTATATTAATCTTAAAAAAGATTTGTCCCTGGTGCTGAGAATTTTCTTTATTCTAGCAATATTTTTTGGAAAACAATGAAACATGTCCATAACTGACACACATGCTAATCAGAAACTATTGTTGTCAGTTACATGGTGTAATACAATTTAATTAATAATGGTGACTTACTGGTTTGGGTGGTTTGGGTGTCGGGATAGTTGGCTCAACTACTTTTATAAACGGTTTATTCACTTCATCTGACCAGCATAGTGGAATAATCTCGGTTACAGTGGGTGGTGGTGGCGCAGATTTCACTTTTCTCTCTGCTAGTTTGCTCCTGAATGGTTGCTCATCATTTCCTGGTACCACATTACTGTTAGCAGCAAAGACAAATTTAATACTCATAAAATAATATGCAACATTCAATAATTCTATCAATGTATAGACTCAAATGTCATGGAATAAGGATATTGTATTTGCACATAATTTTCTGAGAACAATAATATACAAATCAATAAACATGTAGTAAACCATAATTTTGAGTACTATAATATGAGGTTAGAACGCGGATACCTTAAAGTATGCATGAAGACAGTACAGCAGTATCCACAGGTGCCTGTGGGAGTATCGACAAACGCGCAGCGGAGGTCGATACAATGGTGTACTGTCTGAGTGCATACTTGGAGGTATCCTCATAATAATCTTATTATTATACATGTTTTACTTCCAAAGATACATCATGGAAAAGCCGAATTCCAAAATGTTTAGAACAGAATCAGCAAACTTCAAACCCTGGTGGCAGCCATCTTTGTTATTACTTCAGAGGACGCTTACGCACGTTACCATTCCATATTTGTAATTTGCATTCCTTTATATGGTAGAATGAACCCCGTAAAATACCACAAAGTTATGGCACGCTGTAATTTATGGCGTTACGGTGACAGATGTATAATACCATTTATTATTATTATAATACCACTAGGTTTTAAGTTCTTGGACACAGCGAGGAAATGATGAATTCTATTGTAATTTACATGTTCATGTGAATTTAGTTTAGTGAAAATGGTGAAACTAAAAACAAGTGAATAACTAATACATTTGGTGTATGGTAAAAGGAAGAAGTTCATAAAACCTAACATGAGAGAAAGGTGGCCTTCAACCTGGAGAATGAATATTTATTCACTTTCTTTCAAGGAAACGCCTGGCTTATGTAGCATGCACTGAGTGCAGTACATGGCATGACAGATTTACTTCATTGTGGGCTAAGGAGAGTCTGCTCTGGTGTGATTATGAAATTAACAAATGATACTTTGTTACTTGCGCTGGTAAGTGTTATATTAAAATATAACTGACCTCTCAGCGGGATTCCAGGTTTTCACTTTGAAATTATTAGTTTGTAAATCACCATTGATCCCAATCCGAAGCTTGTTGCCAAGTTTCAACTGGTGAGCTACTCTGTCACCAATACCACCTTCTATCTTGTAAACTATTTGCTTTCCTGTGAAAAATAATACAAAATAGTATGTAAAATATTTGGATTTTTATTTTACTAGATAACAGTTTGACAATGTGAAATACCAGAAATATGTAGATTTTAATAACACAATATTTGCTGGTTATTTGTAACAGAAAAGACTTTTGATAGAAAAACAAAAGTTTGCCAAATGTGACCACAGAGGGCACTCTGTAGCTAGAATCTGTGTCAATTAACGAAAAAAGTTTATTGCATTTCTGTCTTTAGAGGGCTTATGTCAAGAGGTCAGCAAACAATCCTGGCACAGACAAATTTATTTTTAGAAAGTTTTATATGCAATATATCAAACAAGTAAGATTTTAGGTGAGAAAATTTTGACACAGTTAATTCACATTCAAAGTGTAAAACTTTTATTTCAATGAAATTGCAAAATTTTGCAGCAATGAAAATCTCTTAGGGGTACTACAAAATTGAGTGTCAATGACTTTCGCAACATTTTGTCTTCATGAATGACATAAAATCTAGAAATCACATGAAATTGAATGAGGTATTTGCAGCACCCTCATATGACAGAATGGAACATTTTGGAGAACTTGGAAAACATCAATTGTGAAATTATCAACTATGACCCATTATGCTGGCCTTGGTTGAAATGGTAACTTTAGTCAAGTTGTAACATCTGGAGTTGATTAACTATTGAGTGAGGAAGTTGGCTAAATAAAAGGTTCACATCATATCATTAACCCTAAAGTGTTAGAGTGTCTAACATCTGGGCTGATGGTGATTGATTTATGTAACCATTTTATATTTACCAGTAAATGCATCAACAACACCAGCACTGTGAGGTTTCTCAGTTCCACCTGCAAAAGTATACCATTTGGCAGAATTAGGATCGAATGTCTCCACTTTTCGACCTTTCACAACCGATTTCTTCATTGTTTTATCTTCTGCTTCCCATTTGGATCGTATATTTCGTGTGACACTGTGAAATGAGGCGGAAGTCTTAGCACTACCGTCTCTTTTCATCTTAATGGTCATAAACCGACCAGTGTCCGCATCAGCTGATTTGGAACGTGGCATTTTGGTACGATGAAGGGCAGAGGTCCGCCGTGAAGCTGCTTGAACTTCACCTGTGAAAAGTAAAACTCAAGATCAATATTCTGTTATGCACAAGATACACACGATTGTATCGTACTTCCCTGGGTATAAGCCCACCACTTATTATAACAAGTTTAACAAGTTAATATTACATACTAGGGAATTAATTTTTTATCGTGAATAAGCTCGTCTGACAATGCTAATTGTCTACTGACCTGCTGTAAACGGCCGTAGTCGTGTTGTGTTTACTCCATGTGTGTTATCATTACTGTCGTGTATCCACCGCTTTCTGTCAGGTCTGCCAGGACTCAATGGTGTACTCCTCGGACTTATTACTGGTTTACTACGACCAGCAGGGGGAGCTGATGAAACAGTCCTGACAAATAGAATTTATAAACATAGCAAACAATTACAACCATGTTTCCTGTAAAACTTTTATCATATGTTATAGTACGGTAAACATTACAAAAGCATGTATAAATATGGGTCCTATACTACAAGTACCAACATACACGTATAAATATCAATGTTTTTTTTTACACAAAATCACACAGTCATACCAAACCACCATTTTTAATTACTTAATAACAAACAGACAAACCAGTAATTATTTTTATATATTATACATTGACACTCTTGAAATTATAAATTATTTTAAAACGTTTTCATTTTGTTTTTTAATACATTAAGCATTTACAGTTTAGAACTATTTTTGTAGCAGTGATAAGCACTGTGCGATGTTAACTTTTGACACAACCACAGTTTATTTATTTACTTTCACAATTTGTTGTGTCCTTTATGTAAATATCATCAAATTAGAAACCTTCATTTTGCATGGCAGCCTGGCATTTAGTTGTTACACTGTGGAAAAACTGTTTTTGTGAAAAACTGTTTATGTTCATGTGTTTTCGCAGACAGCATTTTTTCTGGCGAGTCCTTGTTCAGCAACAGAAATTATTCTAACATCTTAATTAATCATGACTTACCTAGTGGCTCGTTTATACGTGTTCTTGATTTGTTTGGTTTGTTCAGAGATGATAGAATTGGCTGTGATATCATTTATAGCCCGGGTTTCTGGAAAATCTAAATCAACCAGCGTGCTGATAATGGTTGTAGCTGATTTGGGCGGATGGTACCGATACTTGCTTTCCAAGTCGCCTAGAGAACGGTTCTGAAATTTAATGAAAACAATTTTGGATTTATAAAGATACTTGAAAGTAATAAATAATTCAACAAATTCTTTTATAATCAGGAAGATATTATTCTTTCATCAAGCAACATTTTATTCAACTGAATATAATGGCTAGCATTAATTTCCGTCTTGCAACAAAATAACCCATTCAACATTTGCACTTATAGTTTTTAACAGTTTAAATACATTATTCAGTGTTTGATTAGTTGTTATGGCAACTGTGAATCTACGTTTGTAGATTTAAATGGATAACAACCAATTAAATAGAATTACAGATATTCTCAGAATCTGGATTCCTAGTTGATCAGATTAAAATGTAAACAGAGAAAAATGTGGAAGAAACTTTTTAAGTACTGGTATTTTTGGTATTTTTACTCCAAAAAAATGTGCTGTAAAGGTGTTGAAAAAATTCCCATTCATTTGTCATTGCAAATTTGCATGTACATTCTATAATTTCTTTCTCCATTTGAGTTACCATGACAATATGTTCATACTATACCATATATTGCCAAACACAGCAGCTAATTTCTCCATTACTTTTATGCCAAACATAACGCAAACATTATTTTTTTCATTATGGTGTAATAAAGATATTTTATCATAACTGCACAAATTTGGGTAAAATTTAATAAGATGAGTGTTCATGGTTGTCACAAATTATTGGGGAACTCTAAATACTATTTATTTTTTTATGATATAATGCTTTTAAAAAAAAATTGTGTATGTTTTAGGTTTTTCTGCAAAAAAATATTTCATACTGGCTAAAATTAAAGAAAATGACTGTGTCTAAATCAATAATTATGAAAACTTTTAAAACCAAAAAAAAACATGATAATTCATCCATAGATGAAATAAAAAAGGAAATCTACAGGAAAGCATGATAGAGGAAGGCTTTTTAGTTTGATATAAAAGAAAGTAAATTAATTAACACTGTCACTTGACATTACATTAGTTTTACATAAGAATGACTGAATCTGTGTATGACGTATTAGCTCTATTAGACTCCCATATCTCCATTAATGTGTGAGCGTAACAAATTAAATGAAAAACCATTTCACCAACAACAAAAAAAGGCTTTCCTACTGATTGTAATTAATAAAATGTAATCATGTAGCCTGTTAGCTGATATAGCTCCACTGGTACTACCAGAAGTAGTGTTGCACATTTCACAAGTGATCATTCCACAGAGTAAGAAAAACATCCTGTATGCAGAGCGAATTGAAGCTATAGATTTGATGTACCAGTAGGAGATATTTATAATAACACAATTAAGAAAAAGTCAAAAAAGTAAAATTTATGCAAACCACTGATGATGAAAGACAATCAGTGATATGATAAGCTTCTCTCAACTTCATTGACAGTGGGGCTAAACATTATTACCTGCCCTCCCAATAAGTATATGGTCTGCCCCTTACAGTAAGGTATATGAGTATATGCGATTCTTACACACCAAGTAGTAAGGTATATTGGAAAGATGTGAGCCTACTAAATTCACACTGGCCATAATAACCACAATCTCATATAACTAAAGTATTCTGTATGTGGTTATCCAGGCATCATTGTGAGTTTTATCTACATAAGCTTTAAGTAAACATCAAATGTAGCACTGATCAGGCACTGGTGGGTTAATATTTTACATCTGTATTAGTGTTACAGAGTGTTGTACATTTTGTGGATCTGCATCCTACCATATTAGGAAATGTGAATTCAAAATATGGAATGATTGCACAGTATTTTCAAGATGGCAGACACTTTTGAAAATGAAGTTCACAGTGATAAAGTTCTAATAATTATCACCATTTTGCTCAGCTCTGGGATTCCTATAACAGGGTAGATGTATAGTAATTTATAGGGTTGCTATGACGATAACTTAAAGTATGCAATCAGACAGTGGTCACATCAACCTCCAATATATAACGATAAAAACTCCCACTGTACTATTTTCATGCATACTTTGTGTATATTAATTTTTCAATATCAGTAGTTACCCTGACAAAGCGGTTAATTTCAATACATTATTTTAATTCCATTTTCATATTTATGGTAAATTTATTACTAACTTTATTAACAGACTAGTTATTAGAGTTTGGAGAAGTGAAATCATAACTGTATAATTCTGATGCTTTGATTTATCAGCTATTTCAAAGAGATTTTAATAATCAGATATAGAGCAAATTCTTCAATAAATTGTACCTTTTGAAGAAAATCTACTTAGTCATTAAAATAGAAGACTAATAATTATAACAAATTACAGTGAAAAAAAAAGAGTCAATTGAATATCCCACATCAATGAAAATCACAAAATGTTTTAAAGCATAGTTGGCAGCACAGAGGATTTCACAAAATGTCACCCTCACAAACATAACCACAACTCCCATTTCAAACCAAATCAAAGAAAGCTTAGAAAGAACTCCCATGTGCTGAGAGTATTGGAGACACATTAAATATAATTTGAAATTACTTAGCTGAAAACTAATTATGCAAATCAGAAAATTAACATGAACAGATTTGATTGCAAAACTAATGAGGTCTGCGCAATGTAACAAAAACT